ACACACACACACACACAACAGAGCATACGTATACACGGGCGCACGTACACGGAGAAATAATCCTTATCCTTGAACCGACGCCGCCCGCACCGACAGCGTCAGGACAAAAGACGACGGCATTGGAACCGTGGATTCGCCTCTCTCTGTCTCTCTCTCTTTCTCTTTTTATACACGACTGATACGAGCGTGTATCTTGTCTCGCATATACGCCGACAGTGTATACGTGTAGTTCCTCTTCCTGTGATTTGTGCGCGAGGCCGTTCGCGTCTAAGCGACTTTCGTGTATCACTCTTTCGCTCCCGCCAAGGAACTCCATATCCGCTCGTTCGAATCGCATATCGTCTCTTGTCGTTAGCGATCGTAAGATAAATACGCAATCACCTCGCGTGTGTTTCTGCCTGTCGCACAGCAGGCACCTCTCTCCCTTGTTTTCTTCCTTCGTCCACTTTCGCGCTTTCCCGAGACCTCTCCCCTCTTTGCCCCCGTTCCCCTTCCTCTTCCTCGAGTGTACTCCCTCGCGTCGGGACATAGCACTCCGTGTTCTGCGTCTGTCTACGGTGCGGAGTACCATATAGCCGAGCGCCCTCTCGCTCCCTCCAGCAGCAGCGGCACGTCGTCTTCTCGTCGTTTCCCGTCTACTCCGTCGTCCCCGGAGGCAGAATATGGAGGCGATAGCAAAGCACGACTTCACGGCGACCGCCGAGGATGAGCTTAGCTTTCGCAGGAGTCAGGTTCTGAAGGTTGGTATAATTCGGAGGAAACGACCTGGCCCAACCCGTCCCGTCACCTGGTTCATCATCCGACGCGTCGCGTCGCGTCGCGTCGCGTCCCGTCTCGTCCCGTCTCGTCCCATCCCGTCCCATCCCGTCCCATCCCATCCCGTCCCGTCTCATCCCGTCCCGTCCCGTCCCGTCCCGTCCCGTTTCGTTTCCTCTCTTCTCCTCGTCCCATCTCGACCCGTCTCGTACCGTCCCGTCGCGCTGCGTTTCGTCGCGTCGCGGCAGTCACGAGACCTCTTGCCGATCTCCCGAAAGTTCCACCGTCGCGACTCGTTCGTCGGCCGATGTCCTGCAGAATGCGAAAAATGTTATTGTGTATGCATTACATGGACCACACTGTCAGTCGGCATTCATTGTCGCTGCTCGGAATGCCGTTGCGCCTGACGCGAACGCTTAATGTCTATGAATTTCTCTATTGCTCCTAGCAATACCGATTGTTATTGTTTGGAGCGATAACGATGGCGATTTCTATGAGGATTAAAGTGGTGGCATTACTTCCAAGCTTTGTTTCTTTCACCTGCGGTTTTTTTTACATTGTTTGCATTAAGAAAGCCCTTATATTTAAATATATACCTTTTGGCTTTGAAAATAAAAAAATGTGAAAAGAGGGAGATTATATGATAAATAGATAATGAATCTGTATATCATTATATATATTTTTTCATATTTGTTATATTTATTTTAAATTTTGCTTCTAAATGGCAATTATATCTTGAATCAAATAAAATTATTTTACGTTATATATGTTATGTATATTTTTAAATTTATAAAAGATTAATTTCCTAAGATAGAACTTAATATTAGATTTCAAAGATATATTAATAGATTACAAATTATATAAGAAATAATAAAAAGATTTTGAATTTTTTTTTTTCATGTGGAATTTAGTCTAAAATTATAAATAATTTATACCTTTCTTGCGTTTTAAATATTATTTTTTTAATAAGATAGTAATTATGCTAGGCTCATTTAAATAATATAAATGTAATGATTTTGAATTGTAATGATTTTAAATGTTTAGCTATTTACATTACCAAAAGCTAAAAATCACTAAAAATTTTCTTTAGAAGAAACGTTTATAGTCATTAATAAAAAATAATTATAATGTAAAATTACTGAGAAGTGACTTATAGAAGGATGGCTTCAGATTAATTAACTTATAAGATTAATTCTACATTATTTGTTCAAGGAATATGATTAATCTTATGTTTTTTCATGTACATAACAAAACTAAAAATTTCAAAAAAATTACAAAACAAAATTACAAAATTTATTTTGTCTATGATAAAATGTCAATTTAAAAATGATAATATGCATATACAATGGATTTTGAAATAATAATGAAATAAATTATGAAATAAATTACATATAATATTATTTTCAATATGTAATATCCTTTTGCAGATTCTGAATATGGAAGATGATATGAATTGGTATAGAGCTGAATTGGATTCTAGAGAAGGGCTTATACCAAGTAATTATATCGAGATGAAGAGCCATGAGTATGTATTACAAGAATATTGTATCATATTAAATTAACACACACACACACACACACACACTTCAGAGAAAATTTTGACAGTCATTGTTTAATATTTATTTCACATAAAATATTTCTTTTGGTCTTTTTTCGTTCATAAAAATATATATTCACATATATTCACATACATACATACATACAATCTTGTACAAAAATTATTTTCTTGTCTTACCTATTACAGTTGGTATTATGGAAGGATAACCAGAGCGGATGCCGAAAGACTATTGATGAACAAACATGAAGGTGCCTTTTTGATCAGAATCAGTGAAAGCTCCCCTGGTGATTTCTCCTTATCTGTAAAGTGAGTAATATTGAATGAGTAAAGTGTGATTGTAATCATTAAAATCTTTGCCAAAAATAAAAATATTTGATAGTATTATATAAGAAATTCTGTTTTATATTAATTAAAATGATTCTATTATTAATTATTAGAAAGAAATGTAAAAAATAATCAAATATATGTAGGTGCTCCGACGGTGTGCAGCACTTTAAAGTATTAAGAGATGCGCAAGGCAAGTTCTTTCTGTGGGTTGTCAAATTCAATAGCCTCAATGAACTCGTGGAATACCATCGTACAGCATCTGTTTCTCGCTCACAAGATGTTAAGTTGCGTGACATGGTCCCCGAAGAGGTAAAAACTGATTATTTTAAAACGAATTATTTTTTTCTTTTAAAATAGAATATTTAATTTAATCTAAGAATATTTAATCTCATAAATATCTAAATGTATAAAAAGTATAGTGTCTTTTTAATCTATACTTATTAGTTAAATATCTATTTTAATTATTTAAATATTTTGTAACATAAAATCGATTTGTTTTTATTCAGTGTTTGGTACAAGCACTCTATGATTTTGCGCCACAAGAGCCCGGTGAATTAGAATTCCGACGAGGGGATGTAATTACCGTCACAGATCGTACAGATCAGCACTGGTGGCATGGAGAAATCGGAAATAGACGGGGACTGTTTCCGTCTACCTATGTCACGCCATACCACTCCTAGGTAAGGAATAATTATTCTATACCTATATATAGCTTTTAAATTCTGTGCAATGTAATTTTTATTATCTTATCTAATAATAAGTCTAATAAGTTTTCTAAAATTATCAAAATTATATACGCATTATATTACGTATATAATTTTGATAATTTTAGAATTTAGGAAACTTATGCATATTGATAGATACACAAAGTTATGAATGTATTGAGAGAATATTAAATATTTATATATATTGAGGATATTGAATACCGAAAAAGAATTATTCTGTGTATAATACAAAAATACATTTTTATTTTTCTATTTGTTTACCATTATTAATCTTTTTATTATCTTACTTATTAGCATGTAATTTTACAGGCCTCACATGGCCGAGCGCACAGAGGCCGTTATTGGGAACAGTGGCCGCCTTATCCCACCTCTATCACCTACAGGATCCGAGTCGCCGCGGATTTGATAAACAATATTTTACAAACTTCACCTATTGAATGGGCCACTAAAATGTATTGGTGGTCTCGACGGAAAGTCTTCTAAGTAAACACGGCTGAAAATGAATCGAGAATATATCCCAACACCAAAATTCTTAATAAGAATATCGCGTTATTTACATGGGGGAAAAAAAAAGAGAAAGAGAGAAAACCGTCATCGATATCACATCGAAAGATCCCAGCACAAGGATATAACGACATCTAAAGTTTAAGGACAATTTGAGTATTTAAAGATGTTTCGACGATATCCAAGGATCCTAAGATCTCTAACGCTATCCGGGGATCCAAGAATCCAAGAATGCTTTTACAAATGTCTTACGAATGCAAAGATGCCTAAAAGATGCCTAAGGATCTGAGGATTCAAGCATTTATAGAATTCTAACAATTTACAATGATCCTTTATCTAGGAGTAATCTAAGTATCTATGGATACCCCCAAGGATCTAAGGATCTCCGTTTACATGAAGTCGCGTTCGAGGATAATCGAATATGTATATTTTTGTTTTCTTTTTTTTTTGTAAACCTTCTTTTTGAGGACTCTATTTTTTCTTTACTTATTGCGTCAAGCACAGAACTTCGTAGCATTATTGTGTAATTATTATCTTTTATGGTTATTATTATTATTATAACTATTAATGTTATGTTACATTTTATTAATAACAATATATTATATTAATTATAGCCGCGTGTGTGCTTTGTTTACTTGTGCCCAAATACGATGAAGATATTCCTTCGTATCGCAAAGTAATGCGCTATACTAGCGAATGTTAGTATTGCTGCTAGTATAGCACGTTATCTACTTATCATAACAAGTATAAAACGAATGACTGGTCGGTCTGTCTGTTCACGGCACACGCTAGTGAATATGCCATCCGGGAGACTTCCTGCTCGTACGCTTTTAGCTTTATCAGTCGACCACGATAAGCCCTGAAAGCGGAAATTCGCGTATCATGATCGATGTTATTCCGCCGGCTTTAATAATGTTCAACGTTTGCCCCTTTATTAAGTAGAATCAAAACATGATAAGATTAAACATTAGATTCGAATAAGATGTAATAGAGATTATGTAGTGGAATTTAAATCTGGGAAATTTTGGGAATGTCTCAAAAAAAAGTTATCTTTTAAGTTATCAGATTTTAATGTTAGAGCGTAACGTCACGCTTCCTCGATTATAAAAATTTACGACGGTTGATTATTTAATTGCGTTAATAGACTGCTAAGAAATCATCTAATTACGCTTGTGATTCAGTTTTCACGTGCAAAGTGAAGCTTATTAATAAGAAAAGGAAAAGATATATATTATAAGTCATTCGAAAATATAATTCACAAATAAATGCAATTAGATTTGAAAACATATACCATTAATAGAATGAATTGATTATTTAGCTCTTATTAATTGACGAATTGATCAAATTAAATCCAACACGAAAATCTCACTACGGATATAACTTTTACTTCAGAACATACTATATAGCATGATACTTTTGGACCAAGCAATGTATTATAATAATAATAATAATAATAATAACTTGAAATAAATGTCTGCCCAAGCCAGTGATCGCGAACGATCTCCGCGATCTCTTTTGTATGATCGTTGTTTCTGTAATAAACTTAAGCTATATCCTAATATCGATTATAAGTGTGAGCTGATGTATTATGCAAAGAAAACAAAATACATATTTCACGCATGTAATTGCCATACAAGTGCATTATGAGAATCATTGGAAAGATAAGAAAACATATTCGGGACACATGTGAGAATCGTATTCATTGCTGCTGATTGTATGATGTTCAACATTCGGTGTGACAGATGTTTTCTTACATAGCATAATAATGTACAATTGCAGTTATTATTAAAGCGATGGTACAATACAGATACAAGGGACGATGCACCATATTATATAATTATATAAAATGCTGCTATAATAAATGACATATTTCGAACTGTAGTGTTTCTTTTTTACAACTTAATAAGTAATGTTTCATTCTAATCTATAAGACTTTCGTGATTTATTTTAGATGCCTTTCTTTTCCCTCTTTAACAAACTAGTCTGTACGATATATATCTTCCCGCAGTTTCCGATGGTCTAATTATCTTAACGACTTGACCACGTTTTAAACCAAAATATCGTGCTACTGGATCGCCAGCTTGTATTCGCATTAGTTGATTTTCCTTTAGTTTGTATCTGGTTAGTAGTTCTTCTTTCTCATCTGGAGTTAGAACAATGTGCTCGGGTACCAATTCATGTTCGGTGATATTTATTAGTAATTCGGATTCTAAAAACTGTTCTAATATGTATTTTGGTGCCATATCCACCAGCGATTGTTTAGCTGACGGTGTCATGCCTTGTTGAACAACAATGATTGCTCTGTAATATGAACAATAATAATGTATCTTGTTGTCTATTATAAATGTTGAGAACAAGTAAGATCAATAAAGATAAGATATATAAAGACTTAAAATTAACAAACATATAAAAATTGCTCAATAATATAATATAAATAATAATTTGGTAAGCATTCAGTAATTATTGATCATTCAATATTATATGATCAGAATGATCTTTAGAGCCATATTAAATCTAGAATATATTAAAGAATATATTAATTATAACAAGTGCATTCATTTAACAGTTGCATAATTATTTTGTTTTTTGAATTTAATCAATGACTATAAATTACACAGTAATAATTAAACAGTAATAATTATTTTTTATAAATCATTATTACAATTGATATTTATTCTTTCTGAATAAGATACTTGTACAAATTATAGAAACAAAATTACATATGGTAATAAATAAAAAAATGATAAATATATATGACACACATTAAATAAGAAAGTATATATTATATAAATTTATTCATGACACTCATCCTGTGTACACCTTAACTTGTAAGTGGTTGACCAATGTTCATTTCTACCAATATATATTAATGTATATTAATTTCTCAGTTTAATTTAATTTCTATTTTTTTGAATTCTTTAAATTAAAAAAGACAAAAAGCAAGTTAGAATTAAATTACATTAGTAATTTATATTGGAGATTAAAATTAATTTACATTGGTAGAAAAAGATAGAAGTAAATAATTGAAAGCCAAATGAAAAAGTATGGATTATTAAAAATTATTGTTATCAGTTGTAATCACGTTGTAATACTAAAACCAACCTGTGGATCTTTTCTTCCTGCATGCGCTGACAATATGTCTTGATAGTTTTGATGCCAATTTTTGGCTCGTCGGGGAAAAAGACAAACAACTGATCGGTAGGATCATCGTTATGAGCCACAAGAACAATAAGATCACCTCGGGCCGGTCTTTTCTCGCTGGGCTTGTCACCGAACTGTTCCTTGAACAGTTCTAACGTTTGATCCAACTCGTCCTGCGTGACGAGGTAACCTCTATCGTGACATAATTGCATCACAGTTTTTCTGATGCGCCACAATTTGTATGTTTCGTCCTCGTCATCCATATTTGATACTAAAACTCGAAGAAAGCTTTCGAGTTAAAAACTTCTTTTCTATAAATAATAAAATTCGCAAATAAAAACTTTGACTCTCCCACGTTGTACAACTCCGACAAATCAAACAGGTTAACAGCTTCTTTACAGATCATGTATCATGATTTTTTTGTATCATGGTCAGGATGGCCACTTTCAGGCTTCTCTCTGGTCGCTGTAGCGAATCACTGGTCGCGTTTAGCTATTATTTTTTTATTGTTTATTATTTAAACTATTTTACAAATGTTGAAAGTTTTCTGTTTTGAAATTAAAATTAATTATCTCGTTTGATTTTCATCAATGTTCAGAAACACTGTATATATCATTTCCTTTTTATTCATCAAATGTTAAATAAGGATAAAATGATACCTGAGTGCACTGGGTGTTATTTTTGAACGCACTCCTGTTCGTTTGTGAAATGAAACGTCCGACGTCCAATAGGAGAGTTTTTTTTTAGGGATTTCTAGCAGGCAAACTTTCCTATTGGATATTGAACGTCGGTCATTACACGTAGCTGAATCTGCCATTAGTTTTTTAGCGATGTACAGAAACTCACAGTTCTAAGTTCGGGGCAAATGCATAGACATTTATATTTATATATTAGACTGCTAACTTGCCTCAAATAGATGGATCCGAAAAGCATGTATAAAAACATATGCGCATGCGTATGAAGTAAGGGGCATGCATGCGCATGAAAGTTCCATATATGCTATATATACCGACACACGAATTTTATATATATTTGAATAACAAAATGTTTTTTTATTCTTTTCGATAATTGTTATAGCTTTTATTCATTTTTGAAGAAAAAAGTTTCTTTAACAAAAAGTTGTTCCGCCTTTTAGAAATATATATGTA